TCAAAAAGGGAGGTGCCATTGTTCCCTCTATATTCTCTCGAGACCAAGAATGACAGCAGGCCACATCATTCTTAACATAGCAATTAGGTTCATTCTGACTATGTAGGTTAAATCTGTATATGAAGGCAGACAAAGCCTATTGGGCTCTTCCCTTACAACAGACCCAGGTTAGTGACATGCTGATGAGGCCTCCCAGAGCAGTGAAGATAGGCACTACAAGGAAGTATACATTAGGTTGGCTTGGATTGTCCAAAGCATACAATTTTATGTAGGCATTTCTTTGGCTGCTGTCTTCAGTCATTTCTAGAAGTCTTAAAGACTTAAAATTGCATTTCTTAAATTAAAATCAGGACAGACAAATATTTCATCTAATGTGGCCTGTGACCAAGATACTTAGAAAGACCTAAACATTGAACTGAAATTGTATTGGTGAAATGTTGTATCATGCATGTACTCATGTTACACAGAATCAAATTTTACACAGACAAGGAATTTCATGAATTAAAGAAGCAAATTCATTAAAATCAGGGATTGCATTCACATTCAAGCGTAAGCTTACTATTTCAACACGGGAAAAATACCTATTAGCAAAGATATCAACACTATCTTTCCTTGTGCATCTGTGTTTCCAGTTATGCCAGTTTTGGAAAGTCAGTCTACAGAAAGGGAAGGATTTTTCTGTAATGCCAGAAAATTAATTAAAGTTTACTCTCTGTGAGAAAGTAGAATCCAAAATACAAGAGACTCCGCTGTGTGTTTTGTGTTTAATACAAGAGAAATACAAGAGACTCCCCAGTGCCCCACTCTTCCAAGCATAGTAAATACTGATTTGTTTGGGTGATCATCCTTAACTTACAAATCTAATTTTAAGAAAAAAAATCTTACCAGACTCCCCTGCGCTAAAGTGATCTAATGGATTCCCTTCTGCATCTGGGTTTAGTAAGACCATTTCAAACTGAATATCCTCGGATTCAGAATAATTCTCCTCGCAGGTAAACTTGTCTACATAAAACACATACCATGTTTCCGGATAAGGAATCTGGGACACTGTCAGATTTTGCTCTGTGTGGTTCACAGTCACTTTGGAAGAAAACAAACAAACAAACAAAGGAGTCAATACTCAATTAGTTTGTTTTTAGAAAACTCATCTCTGACTGAAGATAAAATCTAAATCCACAACATCATATACAGGTTATAAACTACATACAGTACAAAACAGTCTTTGTTTTGAAAATTAGTAGTAACACCAGAGGACAGACTTCCATTCTCACCTTTTGTTTCAAATAGGTGCACGCAACGGTTGGTGAGGATATGTACCGCATTCCACCTCTCGGCTTTTGGGTTTGCTGGGAGGGCTCCCTTCTGCCAGAAACCAGTAACTGCAAACCGTGTCTCCTACACTTAGCACATTTCCATCCTCTAGTACCATAGTGATGGGAATAGCTGTTTTGTATTAGTCAACAGATAACTTCTGCAGTATGAAAAATACCTTTGTGAAATTTATTCTACTCTATTTTCAAAGACATTTAGAGCACTGAACAGGAACAGCTGCATGCGAGACTGATAACCAATAGTGTGCGTGCTTTCAAGGTGCAACTTAGCATATTTTACAGCACCTTCCCCAAACTGTAATAGACTGAATTTCAATTGACAGCTAAGGGCAGAGACCATTGTCTAACAAAATTGCGTATTTCAAATCAGTTTACATTTAAAACCAACTATGTAAGACACTGAAGTTTCATCTGCTCATTGATCTTACCACTATTTTTCGTAAAAACAACTATTAACGAATAACAAATGCACAATCTCTCCAAAATAAACACTTGCTGAAAATGAAACCTGTGGCTCTTTATGTTTGGCGGTGGTGGTGTTTAACCCGGCAGGCAGCTAACCACCACACAGCCATTCGCTCACTCCCCATCCCTGCCCCAGTGGGGTGGGGGAGAGAATCGGGAAGAAAAAAAAAGTAAAATTTGCGGGTTGAGATAAAGACAGTATAATAGGACAGAAAGGGATAATAATGATAATGATAACAACAACAACAACAACAGAATAAACAAAGTAAGTGTTGCACGATGCAATTGCTCACCACCCACTGACCAATGCCCAGCCAGTTCCTGAGCAGCGGTCCCCAGCCAGCTTTCCCCCTAGTTTATATACTGAACGTGACATTGTATGGTATGAAATATCCCTTTGGCCAGTTTGGGTCAGCTGCCCTGTCTGTGTCTCCTCACAGCTCCTTGTGCACCTCCAGCCTCCTCAGCATGAGAAGTTGGACAGTCTTTGACTTATTAATATAAACACTACTTCACAACAACTGAAACAACACTGTGTTATCAACATTATTCTCATCCTAAATCCAGAACACAGCACTGTACCAGCTGTTAGGAAGAAAATTAACTCTATCCCAGCCGAAACCAGGACAGTGTAAAACTGTAAGAATAGTAAATACAGTTACACTGATTACTGAACTTGAGTGCTAATCAACTCAACCATATATGAAAGTCACCTCTGTAGAAGAAATAAAAATATAATGACTGGACTGTAGATTAATTCACCTTAATGGTTTAAGACGACAATGGATAAGAATGAAGAAAGAGAAAAATTTAATTAAAATTCTACAAAACAAGCTATTTCTGTTTTTTATGCAAAGGCCTTTCTATATGAAAAAGGTGCAAACATGAACACAAAACAACCCTTAGCAAACTCATTATCCCTAAATATTTTGTAGACAAAATTTAGAACTAATTTCTAACTTGAAGCCTACCTGTGAAAAACATTTCTGTGATTTAAATAAACTGCTTCAACTTCAATAAGTTATTTTCTGTCCTCTGAGGGCAGGAACTGATCAACATTAGGATCCAGGAAGAAACGTATGATAGGCCTCTTTGCGGCAATTGTCATGAAGTACAAATTCAGACAACACATGAACCAGAAAAAAAAAAAAGAGTGTTGTAACACAGGCAATCTGTCTTGTGTAGCTAATGGTAAGTATGCATTCCACTCTGGAACTATGAATCTTATCAATCAAATATACAAAGTGAAACAGCTCCCTTCAAAAAACCAAGATTTTTAAAAACACAGTTTTAGGATTTCATATGGTGCTTAATCCAAATGAAAGGCAAACTGCATCTAACAGGTGGCTTTACTCTCCATTTGTACTCTCAGCTGAGTTTGAACAGAGTGTTTTTTGCATCAATACTAAGGATCACACAGACAGTGTTTAATCAGTTTTCCATCAAATCTGCAAGCTAACTCACAGGAAATGAAGATAAAATAAGATGTAATTGATTTTGCCCAAGACAAGTAAACTGAGCCAACTCACCCTGTGGTCATATGATTCCTAAGCACAGCAGAAAGCAGCGAGTACGTTGCTGGGACAGACAGGAGTGATGGACCAACTGCTAGTCATTTCAGCAGCACTTAATGTTCAGCTCAGACCAAGAGTAAGGGAACTAGATCCTTAGAAGTGACATCTGTACAAGATTTCGTTACGAAAGTGTTCCAGGAGATCAATTTGTTACTCTAGGGATTCTGGCCGCACAGAGGAAATGTATTTGAAAAAGAAGCTGTATTCACTTACAATATATCTGAATGAAATTTCTAATATTAATTTAATTTCTTAAAGGAAAATTTGTGTTTTAAGTAGGTTTTGTAATATTAAGATCAATAAATGGTGCAAAAAATGTTATTTCAGTATGTTTGTCTTCCAGTTACATAATTGAATGCTTCAATGTTTTACTGTTAAGTTTAGATGGACACTCTAGTTAAGCATTATCCTAATTAGTTCATCTTTGAAATCTATTAAAAATTTTCTAACATGTTTTGTACATCAAAGTGTGACAGGTTTATGCTATCATGAAAATGAAAATATCCTTTTATTTTTGTTTTCTTGTCTTTGAAAAATGCCATTTCCATGGAATTGGAGAACAGGAACCTCCTGACAAATGAGAAATTTTCCTCCATAAACAAGAGAGACAAGATAACCTGTATATTCTGTACTGGTATAATTATAATCTCAAATATTAAAAACATTTGAATGGGAGATTCAGTGATGAATATCAGATCACAAAATTAAAGGGTGAAAGAACATTAAATGATAATGCAGGCAAGTTATAAAGTAAGGCAGCGTGACCTTACAGATAGAGGGCAGGGAAGGGGAAAGCTAATGGTTATGAGGTTGTGAAAGAAACAAATATAAAAACAATCCCAAAGTAGAACAGAGAAAAAAGGTTTTCAGGTACAAAATTACCCTTTTACTGTGTACTTGGGCTACATGCTCCCACCTTACAGGCATTCACTTCAGAAATTTAGAGGTAACTGCAGCAGGCTCCATCAGTTTGCCTAATTTTTTTTTCATTTCACTGCAATAAAAGTCACAATTCAAACTGTACATTTGACTATCCCAAACATTTAGATTCTCAAGGTCTTCAGTTTCCTATCACAGTGGTATTCTTTCTAGATTCTTTCAAATATTCAACAATCCTTTTTATGGAATAGTTTGAGATATAAAAAAAACAAAACCAAGCTTTTACTCCGAGTGGAGTTAAAGAAAATCTCTGTACTGAATGAGTAAATAAAAACTTCAGCCAAATGTATACCCTTTCCGAGTTGTGTACAAGTGAGAGCAGGAGACCAGAACTGGTCATAAAGTTTGGCTGTTTCCACTGAAGTAATCATTTGTCAAGGACTGTTCATTTTCTAGCTGTATACTAAATCACAACTTGTAAACAAAGTCTTCTGAAGTGATGCAAACATAGCAATTTTATTTCCTTGCAATAATTTTTAATTACAGAATGCCAAAGTCCTGCTTTTGTTGATGCAAAGTCCAAATTCACTGGAATAATATTCTAAATACACAGATAACAGGGTTCTAAATATACAGATAACTTAATTCGTAAGAGGAAAAAAGCAGAAACTCACTTGTCAGCTGAGCTTTAGTGAACTTCTCTGTACAGCTGTGATCTTGGACACCGTTCTGCAGCTTCTGCCATTCCTGTGCTTGAAACAGGTGAAGTCTAGCTGCTTTTGTCACAGCTACTGCTACGTTCTTGATTCTGACACACAGAACAGCATGGTCACCTTGATATTTAAAAAATAAAATCAACTGCTCTGCCTTGATATCAGTTACAAACAAAAAGCTAGCATGGCATAGATTTTTTTTTATAAGTAGCAGTACTAAAACTTTACTTCATTTCTTAAACTTTTACCACTGCTTCCCATAAAAGTCTTTACACTTTCAGAACCAATTTCTGTACATCTCATTAACACAATACTGCATGCATGATTCTCTGTGATGGTACTTAAACATTCATCATAACCCAAATGTCATTAACCTTCTCTACTACAAACAGCCTCCCCTCCCTGCTCTGCTCTTTTTTTTTTTAAACAGACTTCCAGTAAACTTGTTTTTTCCCTTCCTCCCACCCCAAATTTCATTTTCCCAAGTTCAAGTAAAGACAGTGCTTCAATCATTCTCAATAACTAGTTCAGAGTCTAGTATTTTATGACCTTTGTAGCATGATTATGAGCACCATAGGGCAGGTCTTGAGACTAATACCTGAAGAACTTGCATAAATGGACCTTCATGTTATGGACTGAATAGAGCTAAAATACTTAATTGTAGATATCAGACGTCAACTCGATACAAAGATAATCAAACTTCAAAAGTGTTGTCTAATGCATCAGTCTACCTATAAGCTGCATCTTGACATAGATAAGTATTTTAGCCATTTTAGAACTAGCTCATCTGACACATTTATCTTTTCTCGGTAATTCTAAATCCTCCAACTTGTTTTGATAAATCCTTTCATTATACATTGCCACAGATTTCTTTAACATAACAGCATCCTAAATCAAAAGATAGGATTTAATGAAAAATCAATCAGTACTGCAAGAGGACAACCTCATTCAAATTTAAGCAAGATTTATATGTTTTTTTAAACTATCAGAGCAATCTTTCCCACCTAACCCAGGCAGCAGCTGGATGTGAGTAAATACACTACTGCCAGCTTCAAATATGGCTTTGCCAGGAAGGTGTGCCTGTTCAGAGCCAGCTGAAAGATAGTGGTCCTGCAATAAAACCTCAAAAAAGGTGATCTCCTGGGATCTGTAAAATGTTGTATGGACTACAGTTTACCTAAGTTGCTAACAGAAGGTTTTGAAAAATTAACAGAAGGTTCTAAAAAAAAAAACCAAACCCAAAACTCCACATGGTTTCATTAGGACCCAAAATACATATAGTTGTGGGTATTCGTGCACAAAGAGGAATATTTGTAAGAAAATAAGCAACATCAACTTGCAGAACAAATTATATCTCAACACCTAAACCATTCATCTTGAATCTTAACATTCATTTACCAGATCTAAGCAGTGCACTTTTTTTTTTCTTTAGATCTATTTAGAGCGCTTCTACAATTATCTTCTAGGACAGTGATAATTAACTGCTTTCAAGTCACTCCACAAGCTCTCCCCACCCTATCTATCATCTCTCATTCAGTGTTGGAAGGTCACAATCCAACTCATCTTGGCCTATGTCACATTTTCCTTCATCCCATTAGATTTTTTTTTTCTTGTAAACATTTTGGGTTGCCTCTCACACTCCTCCTCCTGTATAAAAATGTGAAGTATTATCTTCATGGCTGTCTTTCGAAGCATTCCACAAAACTCTTCTCCCATGAAGCTAACTGAGAAAGAAAACAGTCCAAGCTACCGAAACGTTGAGCATATAAGCACGCTGAGCAGCACAGCCATGCTGTATATGGCACTTGCCATGCTTGCATACACCTGTTTTTGCAAAGTAAAACTTCTGTAGCAAGGAGAGTAATTTCCAACCTGTACCTCTGCAGTGGCCATTCTAACAGGATTCTAGCCCATCCCTAGGCCTCCTAAATAACAGCCAGGAATTATTACTAACAAGGAGTTAATAACACAGGTAAGAAAAGCCCTTGGGAATAATCAGCTGAGAATTTACATCCTGATGCAGGTGACACTAAAAACTCCAGTGATGTGAAACAGACACGGAATGTTAAGCGTTGCCCTCATTCGGTGGGGTTCCAGGAGGGAAGGAGACAAGCAGGTGAAAGTTAAAATGCCTCCACTCCCCAGATACCTCCCGCCGCGACAGGCTGTTGGGCGCGAAGGGAAGCACAGCGCCGAGTCCACTCCCCGGTAAGTAGCGACGCTGTTTATGGGGCACGGCGGGCTGCTACCAACTCCTGTTTCCACCGACTTGGTGCAGCTCCGCCTCGGCCCAACGGGGTCGCGCTTCTGGCCGAGGTCCCCACCGGCGGCAGAGCGGATCAGGCCTGCCGCGAGTCCCGGCGGA